AATTGTACTTGGAGAATTGTTTCTTTACCCACCGGTAAGCACCCTGTTGGCTGTAAATGGGTCTACTGTGTTAAGCTTCGATCAGATGGTTCCCTTGAACGGTACAAGGCCCGCTTAGTTGCCCAAGGCTATACACAGCAAGAAGGTATCGATTTCAATGAAACATTTTCCCCTGTGGCCAAAATAACCAATGTCCGTACATTGCTGGCCTTTGCTGCAATCTCCAACTGGCATCTGATCCAATTGGATGTAAATAACGCGTTTCTTCATGGTGATTTAACTGAAGAAGTATACATGTGTCTTCCTCCCAGTTATTCTCCACAGGGGGAGTCTTTGCCTCCTAATGTTGTATGCCACTTAACAAAGTCCATTTATGGCTTGAAACAAGCTTCACGTCAATGGTTCTCCAAGTTCTCCTCCACCCTTCTTTCTCTTGGTTTCTCTCAATCTCATGCTGATCACTCCCTGTTTATCCGAAGCTCATCTGATTATTTTATGGCTATTTTAGTCTATGTCGATGATATTATTGTGGCTTCTAACAGTTTTACTTATGTGCAGCATCTGACTGAAAAACTAAATAATACTTTTAAGCTAAATAATCTTGGTCCTCTGAAATATTTTTTGGGTATTGAAGTTGCAAGATCTTCTGCTAGTATTTACTTGTGCCAACGACAATATACTCTTTCTCTTCTTCAAGATTCTGGCTATATTGGCAGCAAGCCTCGTTCAACACCTATGGAGCCCAATCTTCACCTTTCTGCTTCTGAAGGCTCTCTCTTGGATGATCCCACTGCCTACTGTCGGTTGATTGGTCGACTTCTTTATTTGACCATAACCAGACCTGACATTTGTTTTGCTGTCAATCATTTAAGTCAGTTCATGTCTGCTCCCCGTCAGCCTCATTTCCATGCTGCTCAGCGAATTCTTGGTTATTTGAAATGTACTGTTGGACAAGGAATTTTTCTTTCTTCAAAGTCCTTTCTTAGATTACATGCTTTTTGTGACTCAGATTGGGACTCTTGTCCGGACAGCCGCAGGTCTGTTTCTGGATTTTGTGTATTTCTTGGACAATCTCTCATTTCATGGAAGTCCAAGAAACAGAGCACCATTGCTCGCTCTTCCGCTGAAGCTGAGTATCGTTCCATGGCAAATGTCACATGCGAATTGTTATGGCTGTTTTCTCTGCTAACTGACTTGCAGGTCCCTCATTCCGCTCCAGCCCATCTCTTTTGTGACAACCAAGCTGCTCTCCATATTGCAGCCAATCCTGTTTTCCATGAACGAACAAAACACATCGAAATTGATTGCCATATTGTTCGTGATCAACTCACTCAAGGACGTTTACTGACCTTCCCAGTCCCTAGCTCTCAGCAACTTGCAGACTTAATGACCAAAGCTCTTCATCTTGCTCCATTGGCTAATCTGTTGTCCAAGATGGGAGTTCTCAACATTCACTCTCCATCTTGAGGGGGAGTGTTAAAATATATTGTATTTGATTTTATTTTTGGACTGATAGTTTTTAGTGCCACGTCATTGTATTCTGTTACAACCATTTTCTGTTTTGCCTTGTTGTATCATTTCTTTTCTGTTTTGGATGACTACACCAGGTGGTTATTAGCACATGCATATTTTCATTTTTCATTCCCTGTATATAAGTCAGCACTGTTTCATTGTTGATGACACTAAGCGAAATGAACGAATATTTTTCATCCTTTTATTCTCTGTATCAAATCTAATAAAAGTCAATGACCCCTATCTAGTCAAAGAGCTGAACCTAATGCCACCATTAACTTTTGCATCAACATGTGAGTGTGAGAGTGCCGTTCTGCAACGCTACCAATGTAGGCAACGTTCTCATATAATGTAGGCATTCAGCTAACAGTTCTTTCCGCTTCAATGCCACCGGCACCGCCGGCCGCCAGGGTGACCACGTCTTCCCCAAAACAAATGCTTTCTTATTTAATTTATGAAGGTTTGAAAAAGTACAAATTTGACTAATAAAATGATCAATACCCAAGATTTAATATAATAATGGATGATCAATTAAGTTTAGTTACGTAAAACTTCTGTTAATAACTTATTAAAACATGGATGAAAGGACGTATTGATACAAAATCACGTGACCATTAAAATAAATGAAACCTAAAGGATCAAAGGGTTGGTTCAAGTTGTACATATTTAATTATGCTTAAGCAATGTATTAAGTTCAAGTTTTTGTGAATGTAAAAAAAATTCTTTGAGAGAGTTATTTAGCAGCACCATGATGTGAATGTTTCCACCTCGAACAAGATTGCCTCCCGTGGAAGATACATGTAATTTATTTAAAAAAAATTTAAAACCTAAAGGAAGACAATGACATATTATATCCCCACAAGTTTCAACTCTTTTAGCCGACTATGAGACTAATCCTGAGTCAAGATTTAGTCACAGTTAAAACTCGTCTACCCTCCCCAAATATGTATTTGGTGGGAATTGAATCCAGATTATCTCTCTATCTATTCAGCTTGTGTTGCTAAATGAGTTACACATTGTTATGGACTCATATATAAGGTCCATCTATTGATAAGCCCAACAAAGGGCAATCCAAATATAAATCAGACATAATTAAGGAAGGGTATCCATTGAGAATATTAATCCTAATATGACAGCATATAACACATGAGCTTGGGCTATTGACAGAAGCACTGCAGGTCCAGAATACAATACCTACAGGTAAACCATAAAATAAGAGGTAAAACCTACAGGTATGCATGCTCTCTCTCACTGTTATGATGTCACTGTGCACACACATCCTCCTTTGACAAAGTCGTTTATTGTTCTTCTATGCACTTTGATCTACTTGACTAAAAGGCATCTTAATTATCCATAGATACCTTAGAGGGGGTACTTAGATCCAAAAGCAACATACTAACTCTATGGGGCTAGACATCTCTCTGTCTCTAAAACATAACACACCTATTGGGTTTACAATAACAAATATAATTAAGATAAGATGATCTCAAGAAACGTTGTTCCTATCTCGATCTGGGAGGAGTTCAGCTTGTATTTAGGCATTACTTGTCATCTCTGGCCATGGTAACGACTCATATAAAAGAATAAGAAACCAATTAACGAACAAAGACATCGAACAAAATTAAAAACAAAGACACTAACTTCTATTCGGGGGTGTTTGTAGAAGATAACTTTTTTTTACCCGGGAGTTGTGATTCCTGAAAATATGGTGGAAAAGTGAGTTTATCTGAAATGTTTAAAAATAAAACTGTTTGGTATGCCAAAATATTACCAAGATTTTTGTCAGATTTTTTGCATTTAATTTTCCCTTTTCTCGGGAAAATGAAAATACCACCCTCTAGCTGGATGGTATTCTTGTGATATTTTGGTTTACATTTTACACACAAAACAAAATCCCGGAAAAATCATATTCTCGGAAATTTTTTCAGAAATCTTCTACCCAACATGAATAAATTGGATTATCACCCTCATTTTCCTGGAAATCTGAAAATAAATCATCTACCAAACACTCCCTTAGAGTCTAATGACATCAAACTAGTCTATTTGAGATTTTGAGCGTATTGAAACGAACATTTGGCCAATTTTTTATGTTGCAAACTTGTTTGGTTTTTTTTTTTTTTTGATAAACAAAAAGCCCAAGTACAAAATAAAGAAAGACCACAAAAAGAAACCTAACTATTGCAACTCAAAGCATGAGGTCTCCCAACAGCTGACAGATCGGCAAGCAATTATAATTGGATGCCAGGAGGAGTTTCCTGCCAAACAAGATAGTCTTCCTGCCCCTCATAGTCTAATATGAAATTCATCAACCAGTGTGCACACAAGTTAGCCTCCCTCAAAGTATGCCTGAAAATCACATACCAATTTTTATTGATCCATATCCGTATGCGAGAAATCAAATGATTCTCACGGACTGTTGCACCATTTTTAGTGAGCATAGTGATAACACTTGTTAATGATGTTACGGTATACAGCATTCTAAGCCATCTCCATCACCCTAAGGACACCCCATAGTTCTGCTTTAAATGAAGAACACCTCCCTATTTATACGCAAAGTCACCAAGCCACTTACCACACTCATCTCGCTGATTGACTTTTCTTTTCCCCCAACTTGATGGAACATAAATTAAGGGTATATGTTTAATATATACTTTAATGAAATTGAATTTAAAAGAAATTGATAATAAAAGATTTAATATATATATTTAAAAATAATATTTTGAACGTTCTTTTAGAAAAAAAAAATTATTTAGATGATGTAAAAGTAAAACCAATTTTAAATATATAACTACTAAAAAAATAAAATACAAGGTTCAGGTTGAGACATACCTTCTTCTTCTTTTTTGGTAATTACACTGATACATGTTATACGCACTTTTTCTCTTCATAAACTTTTACACTATTACTTAATAATTATGTTTTGATACATTAATAAAAAAAATGTTAACATTCTTGATTTGTTGTAGAAAAAAAATATTAAGGGTGTCTACCAAAAAATATCAAGGGTATATTAATGATTTTTTTTACTTTTCATAAAAACTTTTATAACGACTGTGAACAAAATTTAAATTCACATCAAGTTAATGCTCCCTCAACGGTCGATTTCATCAATTATCTTTCAATCAGTTAATTAGACAGAAACAACCACTCAGAGGTGGAGCCTGTTGCCCCTAGTCAATTTTGGCTAAGTTCGCCCCTGCAACTATGCTCTTATAGTCATATAATTAATAAATCACCAAAGTTTATCATCAATTTAAGTATTAGATCTTTTTGCTTCCAGAAAAAACAAAGCTAAAATTGTTTGATAAATGACTGCCAGTTTATAGCATTATTGCGCGTGTATATAACATCTGCACACTGGCTTGAATTATCATAGTTTTCAAGAATAAGTCTCTTGATTTATTTCAAAATCACGTATTAAGAAGATTCAGAAGGGATGTCCATAAAGCAAATTAAACGTTCAAAAAGGTAACGACAGCAAAGTGAGTAAGCAAATCAAACATTAGGATGCCAAGACATCATGTTTACAATGGACCTAACTACAGATGAACTTAACTAAAACATATATTACTAGGGAAACGTTACTTCAAATATTATTTACCCCACGTAACTCATGTATCTTATAATATACACTATCATAGATCTCTCTCTCTCTCTCTCTCTCTCTTTTTCAAGACGCATTATCAATGGCCTCAATTATCTGTCTTGCTCATTATTTAACTAGCAGTACTAATTATATAACAACAAAGACTGAAACTTATAACAAGACAGCAGGTTTGTATATTTTTTGAAAATATTTTCCACTCATACTTGAACTCCTGAATTTATTGATGGGTATGAGTTGGCCCATAAACTTATAAAACTAGTATCAATTTTTGCATCTTATATTAATCTCTGAAAAAGATTAACTTGATACGAGTTTCATAAATTTAAATTGCTAACCCATGTATCTAAATAAATTTAGGACGGCCAGTGGAAAATAATTTCAAAAGTATACTTAATATTATAAATTTATACTGAACGAAGGATAGGGTCATTAAAATCCTCCTGACAAGAAGTAGAGGTAGTTAAATAATGGAACACATAAACGTTGTATTCCACAAGAGCATCCCCTTTTTCATAATCAACCTGATGACTCCTTGCTTGAACAAAACCACGTGCCAACCTGAAAGCCCCGGTTCCACCAACGATTGGCATCTCCCTAACGGTGTTGAAGATGGGGTTCCTCCCCATCACACTGAAGGTGCTTCCATTAAATTCACCCTCCGTGAACACAAAGCTCATCCCCATGACTATCTCCAAGTCAAGCTTAGCTTGCTGTGACGCAGATATGTAAAACCCTTGTGCCTTTCCAACTAGTTTGGAGTCAAGTTCGGGCCCCACTGTCAAAGGGTCCTCCAACACCACCAAGGATCCGAATGGTAAGGGAGAGTTGGACTTACCCATGAGGGGACTAGCCACTATGACCATGGATGCTTTTGGACCAGTAACAATGTCATGGAAGAAGAAACGAATGTGGGTGAGCTTCTCCTCATGGAAACCTAGAGATGATGGGGAGATTCTTTGATGGTAACTGGCCACAAGGGTGGAGAAGAGGAAGGTAAGGGTTAGGGGAATGAAGAAAGTGGTTAAGAGGGTTTTGGAATAAGCCATAGTAGTGATCAACAAGTCAAGTGAGTGAGTAAGAAAGTTAAGAGCTAACCTTATATTGATACTATCCCATGAAATAAAAGGGATTGTATTTATAGCAAGTTGGGGGCTGTGAAAGTCTTTGGAGTGACCTCAGACCTTCCCGTATATAACTATGATGCCGGTCCATGTACACAAAAATTGTAATTGATTTAACGGATCAATTCAAACTTCCTTGACCAAGTTATATATTATCATTATTTTATTTCGGTTGCACCCTGGGATAAGCCTCAAATAAACGCTTGAAGGTCGACAAGTGCAACCCAATCTTAACTGATAGTATTGGCTATGTTGCACCGATATCGATTCAGGATATGGGACACGATATGATACGATATTTCGATACGTTAATTTTAAAAAAATATTAGATTTTAACATATTGGAACATATTTTTATATTAAATAATATTTTTAGTTTATATAATATATATTATATTTAATATTCAATCATTTAACAAAAAAGACGAAGCTATGTCTTGTTTGTGTGAAAACAATGGTACCTTCATTCGTATAAATTCTCTTATATTATTCTTCCTCTAAATGAGTTTTTTTTAATACGCAAAGCTGAGGTTTTACCAGGTATCATAAGGAAACTAATATTTATCCTTATCTACAACATACTCCTATTATCCATGAAACAAAATAACAATCTAAAGATGGTTGATTGGTCCTTTTGTCCTTGATTTAAAAAAAAAATATGGTCAATATAATTATATATAAGCAGATTGATATATGATTTGGGAAGAGCGGCAAAGTGATAACTTTAAAAAAAAAATAAAGACAAAAGATTCCATAAGGTATATAAAAAGTGTTAATGGTTCTTTCAAATCAAAATAAAAAAATATTTATTTAAAAAAAAGAAAACAATATTTATTTACAAAAAAGGAAAAAGAAAACAACATTTATGAAAAAAAAATTGGCATTATAAAATATAAAATATTAAGAAAGGCTAAAAAAACCTAGTTGAACTACTCTTCACCGCGTAAGTTTCTATATAATGGCTCATCCAAATTCCGTAAGCCTAAATGTAATTATTATTCTTGTATAAAATAAATATATCAATGTACAGTATTTCTCTTAATCAGGTTTCAATAGTTTTAAAGACGGTAGATCACAACACGTTAGAGAAAAAAAAAGTAAATAAAATAATCAAGAGAAATGCGAAGTTTTCCTAACTAATCTTTTTATTATCTTCTTAAATACTAAAAACAAAAAGTATCAAATAAAAAACAAAGTATTAACCTTGAAAGTTTCAAAAATATTTAATTTATGAAAATATTGAAGAAGAAGAACTGCAGTACTGTAGTTAGGGGGGAAAGCCTTTGGAATAATTCCGTTGTTATTTCTGTCAAATTTGACGGCTGATGACGGGAAGACTTCGTTGATTTATCATTTACAATCGCCGGTCTATAGACTATTCCACGTTTTGGATATTTTTTTTGGAATTTGTAGCTTTCAATTTCTCTTAAACGTCACTTGGGAAAATTGTGAAGTCAAGCACATGTGTCTTGAAATACAGCAGTTAAAGTTCATTATCATTTTAATCCTGTTTTAAAATTTTCTATTTGACTAAAATTTAATTGACATTAACTCGAGTAAATGACTTATCAAGATTAGGGTTTGGTCAAATTTTGATCAAATATGAAGATATTAATATATAATTTGAGAAGAAGAGTATAATTATATATAATTTGATAAAAGGGAAAAAAATGATAAAAAAAAAATCAAATTAAGAATGAAATAATCAATCAATCTTAATTACGTATTTTAAACTTTTGTACATCCTTATATTGCACGTACATTACGTGTCCACAGTTTGATTTTTCGTGTACATCAGTCACTTCGTTTGGATTATTGGATAGTCCAAAATTTACAACAGGTTAGTCAAATGTCTACTTGTAAATTATTGTAATTCCTATACATCATGTACATTATGAGTCTTGTTATTGCACACAAATGAATTTAAAAAAATAAAATAAAAGGTCAAACAATAATTCTCTCGCTATTTATTGTAATTCCTATACAAAATTTACATCAGACACTTCGTTTGGATAGTCCAAAATTTACAACAGGTTAGTCAAATTTCTACTTGTAAATTATTGTAATTCCTATACATCATGTACATTATGAGTCTAGTTATTTCACACAAATGAATTTTAAAAAAAATAAAAATAAAAGGTCAAACAATAATTCTTTCGCTATTTATTGTAATTCCTATACAAAATTTACATCAGACACTTCGTTTGGATAGTCCAAAATTTACAACAGGTTAGTCAAATGTCTACTTGTAAATTATTGTAATTCCTATACATCATGTACATTATGAGTCTAGTTAGTGCACACAAATGAATTTTTAAAAAAATAAAATAAAAGGTCAAACAATAATTCTCTCGCTATTTATTGTAATTCCTATACAAAATGTACATCAGACACTTCGTTTGGATAGTCCAAAATTTACAACAGGTTAGTCAAACGTCTACTTGTAAATTATTGTAATTCCTATACATCATGTACATTATGAGTCTAGTTATTGCACACAATAAAAGGTCAAACAATAATTCTCTCTCTATTGCCTTGAGAGTTAAAATAAGAGGGAAGGTTGAACCGATGCATTGATAATGTTGTTATTATTTTCATATCACAACATATATATGTACACCAACGTTCTACTTTAAGTCCCTATCTCTTTGTTCTAGTTATGGATAAATTAATAAAAGATATTCAAGAAAAAGTGTTATGATGTATGTTTTTTGCATATAATATTATATTTATTGATGAGACTAAGGCCAGAGTTGACAAAAAACTAGAATTGCGAGGAAACACGTTGGAGTCTAAAGAATTTACGCTAAGCCGGAGCAAGATGGAGTATATGAAGTGTGAGCTTGCTTCAATAAGAGATAGGGATCAAGATTCTTTACATGTGCTTGGACAAAAGGTATCCAATAAAGATGCTTTCAAATATCTAGTATCAGTTTTGCAAAAAGGTGGATAGATTGATGAGAATATAAATCATAGAATCAAAGCAGGTTGGATAAGATAGCGTAATATATCAGGGTTTTTGTGTGACTGCAAAATTCTCTTTAGACTAAAAGAAAATTTTTATAGAACAACAGTAAGACCTACAATGTGATATGAAACTGAATGTTGGCCAACACCTAGGCAACATAAGCATAAAATGAGAGTAGAAAAATAAGAATGCTAAGGTAGATATGTGGTCATACGAGGATGGATAAGATAAAAAATAAAGATATTCGCCGAAAGGTGTAAGTAGTACTTATGGGTTGAAATAGATTGAGATGATCTAAGCACGTAATGAGAAGACTCATAAATGCTCCCATAAGAACAAAAGTTTGTTACCAAGAACTTAACTCAAAAAGAGGAAGAGGAATACTGAAATTTACTTAGAGGAAGGTAATAAAACAAAACTTAATAGAGTGATATATAAATTGATAGACGATGTGTCTTAGGACTAATCGGAAAAAAGCTATTAGTATTATGAAGGGTTAGATCTGTTTTTTCTCCTATGTTTTAGTTGGTCCCTTTTTAAACCATTTTCCCTTTATTTTTTTTCTTTATCTCTTCTTCTTTTCTTTCTTTCTTTCTTTCATTCTTTTCTTTCATTTCTTTTTTTTTCCTCTTAATCTTTCTTCTCTAATTTATATATTTTCTCTTTTCTTCATTTTTATCTCTCTATTACTTTGTTCATTTTATTTTTATTTTCTATTCTCTTTTTTCCTCTTATATATTTTTATTGTCACTTTATTTTATTTTATTTTTTCTTTAAATTTTTTATTACAATATTTTAATGGATAATGTTTTATATATGGAATAAGATATTATGCCTACTTTTTATTATTTGTACTCTATCTACGCATCTCCAATATCGTTAGATCATAACATCAACTAATAACCATCACCCCTTCTCTCCTCTTGATATTTTGATCCAACAGAGTTGAAGATGAGTAGGTAAAGTAGGCATGGAAAAATGTAGGCATAATATCTTATATATATGTATATATATATATACACATATATATATATATATATATTAAAGTAAAATTCATGATTCAAAGAGAAATATAAATTTTCCAAAATACAATTTAGTTTTAATCTTTAATACCAAAACGATGTCGTTTTGAGGCTACGGTAGATAACTTTATCTCCTGTGACAGGAGAAATATTTTTTCCTATATGTATATATATGTGTGTGAGTGTGTATATATATATACATATATATATACAAATATACATACATATAGGGTTAGGATTTCTCCACTCATTGAAGATGAAGTTGTCTCCAGTTAGAGGTGTGATAGGTCAGGCTAGGTGTAAGGACTCGCACCGTAAAATTAGGAATTTAAATTAATTAAAGGTAAAATTAAGAAATAATACCATAATTGACCCTAATAATTATGAGAAGGCTAAAGTAATTCTAGTAAGTGATTAATAATGTAGAAAATCATTTTTCTGACGAAAAGTGCAGATACCGATTCTGCTCCACAGTATAAATGCATACCGATGAAGTATCCCAGAAAATTATGAAAAGTATGTATATGTCACTAGAATAATATATAGGACTAGCATAACAAGTTTGGAGTCAAAATAATAAGAACTAGCGTCAGAACTGATACTGGCTTCGTAAAAGCGCATACCGGCAAAGTGCTGCGAAAAATAAAATAAAAATATGACAAATCTTAGAAAAATAGCTAGGTTCATAATCCTAAGTTTGGGATCAAAATATTAAGCGTAGCTATTAGTGCTAATACTGTGTGATTAATTTAATAGACCTATAAATACTTAAGGGCACAAGGCTCTAGGTCAGATTCTAATACTCCCACGTAGAGCTTCTGGTGCTATCTGGTTGCTGCCACCTTTTCTTACACTATTCCATTGCCTTCCTCTCATGAAATCAACAAAGTCATAGTCTTTTCACTTGATTCTTCCTCTTCCATCTTGTGAGCACTTGAGAGTATACATTGTGAGGGAGAAAGACACCTTCTTGCTGAGTAGAAGTTGTTGTTTGGGGGAGGTTTGGGGCTGACTTCGTTGTTTGGGGTTATGGGAGCCTTGTTCATACCATTGAAGGC